GCGTAACGCAGAGAGGCGGAGATTTACTGTATCTCAAAGATTCCTATGGACATACTCCCTCCCTCCCTCCCTCCCTCGCTGGAGAGCGTAACGCAGAGAGGCGGAGATTTACTGTATCTCAAAGATTCCTATGGACAGACTCCCTCCCTCCCTCCCTCCCTCGCTGGAGAGCGTAACGCAGAGAGGCGGAGATGTACTGTATCTCAAAGATTCCTATGGACATACACCATAGCCCCGACCAAATAAAGCGCACGGGTCTCTAACCACTGAATACGACGCGTCAGGACTCAGAAGATGTATCAATAACGCCCTGAGCACTGTAAGGAGGATCGGGAGACTACACTACACTTTACCGAGTCACGTAACGACGTCGAATTCCGTTAATTAGTTACGACTCCACGGACAGACTAATCGTCTCTCTCAATACAGCCAACATAGCATGATTACTGCCAATCACTAATCACTATAACAGTTAGCAGGGAAAGAACACCCGCTACGCCCAACAACGGCGACAAGGATTTTGTGCTCCGTCAACCAAAAGAACAGACTAATTAATTAACCAAGATAGTCGATCATCCCAATCAGAGTTCAAAAACGGCGTGGCATTCACTCAATTCCAACAAAAAGAAACCGTTCAATTGACAGATCACGCGAGTAATCAAATCAACCAATCAATCAACGGGGGTCATCAAACATCGACACCATCGCGCACAAGCACAACCGTCACGCAACGAACGTCTTGCATCTACTTCCCGTCAGACGACATCTCCCACCCTCTGCACCCCAATAGAACGTCCGGCTACTATAGACGTATTCGGGACAACATCCAGTCCAGGTGCAGCGATAATCACCAGGCGTTCTCTTACCGTTCCGCCCATCAGCCGACAACTCCTAGCGTTCCCCGTCAGTGGACATCTCCTCGCGTTCTCCGTGAGGGGGCATCTCCTACGCTGTGTGATATGACAATGAAAAAAAAAAACACCCCTCCCTTCCTCATCATTTGCACTACTGCCTGCTCTGCCACCTATGTATCCTTTTTCCATTAATTCACTTTTCATTTCCCTTCCTTGTTTTTCCATATCCAGGGTCAAAACAACCCCTCCTTCCTCCAAACTGCCTCCTCCCAGTACTAACCACAGCTTGCGTCAGTTGCTCTTATTCCCTTCTCTAATTCTCTCTCCCCCTTTCCTTGCGGACCCTTCCCTGTCTACGTCTTAACCACCCCCCCGGTCTGACTATACCCCCTTCAATGACTGCAATTGGGATCCCTTCATCCCCACCTCCTCTCTCAACACAGATCTATCCCCGTCATCTTCCTCCCAACCTTCTCCTCACTTCGCCCACCTCCCTCTCTCCGTTCGCTATCCCCTCTCCTCCCCTCAACCCGCGCGAGAGAGAGAGAGCTGACGATCGCGATGGATAAGAGGTATGCCAAGCGCGCACGTGCGTGCGCGTGAGCGCGCGTGTCCGTGTGTATGTGTGTGTGTGTGTGTGTGAGAGAGAGAGAGAGACAGAGAGAGAGAGCGGTTCGTTATTGACGTGACGGGTGAGTGTGGCTGGAAAGGAGCAGCAGGTGAAATGACGGATAGGATGGACAAAGAAGAGGAGCCTGTTATTGTGGGGGGAGTGTTGTAAGGAAGGTAGAAAACGAGAAAGGGGAAGAGAGACGGCATAGGCAGGAAGAGGATTGGCAAGGATGGAGGAAAGGGCGCGGGCAGTGGAGGGCGGGGAGGTTAAAGAGAGGAGAGGGGACAGCGAACGGTGAGAGAGTTGGGCGCCCCCAACTCTCTCACTGTTCGCCCAACTCTCTCACCGTTCGCTGTTCCCTCTCCTCTCTTTAACCTCCCCGCCCTCCACTGCCCGCGCCCTTTCCTCCATCCTTGCCAATCCTCTTCCTGCCTATGCCATCTCTTTTCCCCTTTCTCGTTTTCTACCTTCCTTGGATAACAGGCTCCTCTTCTTTGTCCATCCTATCCGTCATTTCACCTGCTGCTCCTTTCCAGCCACACTCACCCGTCACGTCAATAACGAACCGCTCTCTCTCTCTCTCTCTCTCTCTCTCTCTCTCTCTCTCTCTCTCTCTCTCTCTCTCTCTCTCTCTCTCCCCCCGACACAATAACAGGCTCCTCTTCTTCGTCCATCGTATCCGTCATTTCAGCTGCTGCTCCTTTCCAGCCACACTCACCCGTCACGTCAATAACGAACCTCTCTCTCTCTCTCTCTCTCTCTCTCTCTCTCTCTCTCTCTCTCTCTCTCTCTCTCTCTCTCTCTCTGTGTGTGTGTGTGTGTGTGTGTGCCGAGGCTTACCCTCCCGAAAAGAAAGATAAGTGATCAAACGACGGCCATACAGGGCGATCGGCGAGAGGGCGTGTCATTACCTTGAACTAGTTAGCGATGTTCTTCCCCTTGCCGCGACACTGCTCCCTTAAGCCTTTTCCTTCATCTTACTTAGCCGCAAACTCGGATCCTCCGTTGTTTTCTTTCCCTTTCCAGTAGCACAGAAGCTGTTACAGATTTCCGCTCAGATCACAATACTTACGATACTACCTCCGGTTTACCGACAAGCGCATCCACCACCACACGTGCCACTCGCGCTTCACCCACCACCTTCACTCCCTCAGGTCATCTTTGCACGCCCACTTCCAATCACTGTCTACGCTTTGCCCCCCACAACCACAACGCCACCAACTAATTCCCCGTCAATTGACCACCGCCTTCACCTCTGCCTCCACCTCTGCCTCTCTGTCCCCTCTCACCGTCGCGTACTACCCCCCTCCCTCTTAGCGTCCCTGTCTCGGTGGAACCGCTCGCCTTGTGCCACTTGGTAGTTTAGCTTTGCGCCGCACCTTCCTTCACATCAGGATTAGCCCGATCTACCTCTCTTTCTCTCTGTCCCTTGCCCTCTTTCGACCCCGGAAACGGCTTCCTCCTTCTCCCTCCCTGTCCCGCTTCCCTTTTCTACACGTCCACCATTCTACTCTCCTGTCATTTTGGTTCGGTTGTGTGCAACCTGGGCCGAGGTCCCACTTGCACGGATTACGAGAATTTGGCCGTTGATCTTTGCTATCTACGGTCAATATCGCTTAATTCGTGCAAGCGGGACCTAGCCCCTGGTAGACTGACGCAAGGGCGGGGCCAGGAGGGAGCCCAAATTGGTGTTCAACCGCCACAAAAGAAGGTAGAGAGAAATGGTGGAAATGAGCGGGAGAAGGATGCCAAATTAGAGTGTACAACTGCAAAATTAAAGGCGACGAAATGGTCGAAATCGGCGGGGAAAACGACGACAACTGGTTGACAGCGAGGGGCGAGGGTAGTAAGGAAAGGAAACGTGGATGCTTGCGTTGGCGGGGCGGTGCGCAGTGAGGGAAAAAGAAGCGGGAATGTGAAAAAGAAGCGGGAATGCTTCAGTTGCCACCGGGGAAGAAGCGGGGATGCTCGAATTGAATTGGCGGGGTGGGGGGCAGAGAGGAAGAAGCGGGGGGATGCTTCAGCACCCGGTCGGAATTGCCTGGATTATTCTTTTATTATGGCCGTCGATTTCCATAATAGACGGTCATAAGGAACCTGACCCGCAGTTGGCGGGGTGGAAGGTAGCGCGGGGAACGGCGTCTGGTGGTAGGTACGCAGCGCGGGAAAGAAACGGGGATGGGGCATGGGGATGGGGAGGGGGAGGGGGAGGGGGATGAGGATGGGGGGATGCTTGAGTTGGCGGGCTACCTCGAGGACATGCGCGTGCCAATTTCATCGCGCGACCGCTCCGACCTCAATCGACTTTTCTCCCCCTTCCTCCTGCCTACTGCGCACTTTCCATTCGGAGTGGACAGAGACGTCGGTGCTTGATGACTAACTGAGAGCGCGCTACAGTGGTCGCAAGCGATCGGTGCCTCCTGCTGCTGGTGGCGGAAACCGCGATGGCATTTCCTCTGCTCTGTCCTACAGCCCCGCGCGCTCTTTCGCTGAATCTCGCGTTCACACCCCGCCCTTCATGCTCCTGCCCCGGCCGCCTTCTCCGCGATTCCCCGCTCGCCTGCCCGCCCGGCGACCCGCCCGGCGACCCGCCCGCCCGCCCGCTCGCCTGACGCGATCCGATCCGAGAACCCCCTGCGGCTTGGGAGACAGGTTCGGCCCGGGGGTCTTTTACCCCCCGAGGAAATAACAGGCCTGCCATCAGATCCAATATGCCTCTCCCATCCCTCCAGTGCCGGGCACTCGCCCCTCTCCCGTTCCGTCAGTGCCGGGCTGCGTGAGTGCCGGGGCCAAGTCCCGCTGGCAGCGTTGAATGTCATCAACGCCCGAATCTGTCTGTAGTTGAGTTTTCTCAACCGCACCTCTCCACAAACACGTCCGGATTCGGGCGTTGTTGAAACTCAACGCTGCTACGTAGCGGGACTTGGCCCCCACACTCATGGATCATTGAAAAAACAAAGCGAAAATTGCATCTGTACCCCACTTCAAGATGAGAATATTACCCGAGAGCCTAGCTCAGTGGGTACACCCATGAACTGTTGAAATACAGACACGTGTTCCAATCCAGATGATGGAACTTGATGAGTAAAACCAGCTATTTCTGAATTTCACAAAAGTAGAATCATTCGTTACCAAGCCCCGTGGCCGCCTGCGGCGCACTTAGTGCCAACGGACTGTGATGGTCCTCTGGATACCCCTGATCGGTATTAGCGGGGTCTATGACCAACACGGGTGTGAGTGTGAGGGCTAGTGGGTTGCGTGTGGTGTGTGGGAGAGTGTTGGCCATAGCCTCTGCCGCTACTCGATGAAGGGTGGGGGACGATGAGAAAGGGAGGCACAGCTACTGGCAGGTCTCGGTCTTTGTGTTAGCCAGACCCCCACTGGCGGCCCCAACCCTATACCCTAACCATTATGGGCAAGGGGCAACATGAGAACTCCCCTTCACAGAGAGAGGAAAAACTATGCTTGCAGGGGTCCCCTCTAGATAGTCTTAGGAGTAGGTAGTGGAAGGTAAACAAACAGAAGTTGAGAGAAGAATATAGACAGTTGTGATCACCCCAATATACAAAAAACAAAACAAAAGAAAGGAATCATAGGGGAGGCCGGGAATCATCCACAAACAACCCGGAGTAACCTATGAAACAGTCTGGGGCCATTACCCAGTATTAGGCTTGGGCGTTGGGAGGGCGTCCAGAGACATTATGGTCAGCTCGAGACCATTGCTCTGACAAATGCACAACCCCGGTGAAAAGGAAAACCGTCCCTCAGGGCCTAAAAGCTGAACAAACCAAAAAGAGTCTACCACCGAATTAAACCAAAAACATAGCCTTAACCAAAACCAAAAGCAAAGCCACTAGAATTCAAGTCTAAAGGTTGTCACCTAAGAAAGGGGGAGATAAGACATCTATCCTACCAGATGTATGTTCCTACCACCTAAAATCGGTGGAAGGGTCTGACTGGACCCTTATATGCTGTGTGACACTCCCTCCTAACCTCCCAACCGCATCTGCCTGCCCACTGTGGCAGTAAAACCGAGTGTCCTGGTTAATCACTCAGCTTAGTTTCCTATAAGCATGCCACGTGGATTCCTTTATCGTGAATCCAGGACTTCAACCTCGCTTTCTTGAACTTACCTGAAGCGTCGACAATACCCCGCAGATTCCAGGTGGACAGTCGGAGCTTACCCATTCATACTCTGTCTCCCGTTTCCGGATTGGATTGAGACGGCTGCTCCCGTTGATGATGCTTGCTGATCCCATGGCGCAGATAGGAAGTCTCTGATGAACTTGAAGTTGAATTTCTTGTCTCTCGCTAGTTTGTCGTTCACATCCGCCAAAAATTCTCCTGTGCGAAATGGAGGAACTCTAACTCTGTGGAGTTCTTGTCTTCTTCCCTCCGCAAACCAGCTGAGTGGAAGAAGCCGCATCCCCTCATGTTCCAGTTTGGTCTGCTGAGCCATCTCCATACTTGCGTCGAAGATTGGAACGAAAAACTTCAATTTCTTTCCGTCCGCTAAGTCCAAGATGAATCTGCCCATCGGTTCCTCCGGAATTAAGCGGACCATGAATTTTCCCCTCACCGCCGCCTGAATGATATTGGTCACCGCAGTTGGCATCGGCTGCTCGGGAGATGTTGTACTAAACAGTTTTGCAGCTCCATCACTTGTACTCCATGCGATGACCGAGAATGTACCTTTGGCTGCATAGCACATAATCAGCAGTACTCTGTTCTCGACATTCTCGAGTTGTCCACGGCTCAAAGTGGGCGTGCGGCTTCTGGTAGTTTTCATGCCAGGTGTGCCGATTACCATCTCTTGATCTCCGGAGTTATCCGACCTTGGAGTAGAGGAGACCAAATCCTCCCTGAGTACTTCGTGCCCCTCGCTGTCAACTCTTTTGTGCTTCCCTGGAGTACTTCCGGGGAATCTTCCGCAGAGTGAAGACGAGCCTAGACGGCCACCGCCTGGGGGCGTCTGACTGTTGCTCGGACCTCCTCCAATGCCTGCTTGCTGCCCCGCTTGTCCACCTCCTGGGAAAAGACAGGTAGGACGGAACATGTTTTGCAACCCTTGATAGGGTTGAAACCCTCCTGCTTAACTTGGGTGAGCCATCTGTGAGAAGACCCCGGATGGTTGTCCTACAGGCGCTGCGTTGCTTTGTTGTACAAGCGCTATTTCTTGGAGAAGCTGGGTCAAAAACCCGTTGGGTTGAACGACTGGTGGAGGCGCCATGAAGGCCGGATTCTGGTAAATGTTTGGGAAGATCATCTCCGGTGCGGGGTTGCCTGTTCCTCCGACGGATGAGACCGCTGGTTGGCCGCCAGCACCTGCCCTACTGAGTGGCCCCTGGTACATTTGTCTGGATGAGCCCGCCTGGGCTGATTCCTCTCTGCCCCCTTGTCCTTTTGCGTTACCCTGTTGTTGACGAGATCGACCTCCCCCTGTACATTCATCCACAGAATGAAAGAACGCTCGACATTTGCGGCACAGAGGTGTACCCGATGACGCTAGCTTGACCACCAGTTCGTCTCCTTCGAAAGTATCGACTATTATCGAATCCTTCATGTTTGGTCTGGCTTCCAGGTCCAGGTCAAACTTTATATTGATCAATGTTGGTTTGAGACGATCCTGCTCCGACGGGTGCGCCATCGTGACGGGGCCGATGACTCTTCGAATGTGTGTCTCCAGATAAAACATGGCGTCCAAGGGGACTTGAATAACAATGACCCAGAAGGTCGATAGTTCTTCGAGTCTACGTTGTTCTCTCAGTTGCACGTTAGTAAGCCATGGCTTGAACTCCAACCTATATGTGACTCCTCCCAGCTCTATTTCAACACTTCCTTTCTCCACAAGCCAAGCAAAGATCAGTGTACTCTTGGCCAAGTATGAAGCTACATTAAGACTTTCCACCTTGACTCTACCTCCGCTATATCCTTCACCAAAGTCGCTCGTTTGAACCCTTTCATCTTCGTAAGCTCTAATGAGATCCTCCTTCACGTTTCTCGGGAGAAAGCGAGCAGCGTCCCTGAAGATCACCGTGATCGTGCGCTCCTTCAGCCACTGAACTTTGAGTCTGTCTATGGAATCTTTCACTTTAAATCTGACGTTACGACCCTGTATCGTCATTTCCCTAGGATCAATGTCCCTGGGCAGAATGCCATCTTCGTAGCAGAGGCGGAGCAGCTCTCAAACTCTTGCGTCGTCTACCTTGTCTTCTCCCGAAGCTGGAGGGGGCGACCTGTTCGCCATCCCTTCGCCCGTCTCCAAATTTATAGGCCAAGGCTAACGCTTAGGTGGAAAAGAAGGACAAGTGGAGACCGAAGTGAGGAGGGGGCTGAGACGAGAAGGATAATTAGCGTATCTTGACTTCCTCTTCGCGCGGACAAAGAACCATGTCCTAACAAGTGTTTGAGATGTCTATGAAAGAAAGGTGTTGTCGGGGAGGGCGACTCGTCAAGCATGCAACGTCAAAACTAGTAGGGATGTTGGCTTTCGTCAACTTCCCTGTTCTCACTACAAGGAGTGAGCTAGGTGACATCGCTTCCAGACCGCCGTCATGGTGACTACGGGAGTTGTTGCCCTAGGTTCCCCATTACCGGCCGAGCGCAAATTAGCGCCGGCGGAAGCGCTACGAGCCTCCCCTGCTCCCAAGTTCATCAATTTGGTAAGGCAGTAGCACCCTCACTTTTCCCAAGAAATTGCTCTATTTTTTAATTTATGAATTGCCTGGGCCGGCCTAGGCCCGTAATATATATCAAATAAGTCTAGTTGATGTAGCTCAGTGGTTAGAAATGCGCATTGTGGTATAAGTTGCGTGTTTAAAACTCATTGTCGCCGGCAGGGCATTAGAATGACGCATGGCTGGACACACACCCCCTTGGGCTGACGCACGGTAAGCTTATACAGACACTGCCTGCACACCACCCAAGGGGTTGTCCATGGTGTTGTATGTCGGGTCTTGATACTGCGTGGGTTGCTTGTGGCTGTTGCTGGTCTTTGTTCTGTTGATTTCCCCAGTCTGGCATATCACACACAGGGGCCGTTTGCGATTGTGGCTCAAATGGTAGTCTTCAAGTCACATGTCATAGATCAGGGGTTCAAGTCTGCCTTGAGACTTTGAGGGGGGTTCTTGTCCAGCTTGGCATGTCATCTCTTCAAACGAACACATAGTTCCCTACATAGTACTGCTCATATCTGGCCTTCGGGCACACATATCTCCCTATACAGTTACACAGAGCACACATAGCCTTCGGGCGGACACAAAAACATAGCCCTATGGGCCCATACAAACACACATAGCTTTTGGCCACAGACATATGCACACAACTACGATACCTAGATGGGCGGGTCTATCAGGTATATGAGGGGGTCTACGCATGCATGGCTTAGCTCTAGGGTAGGGTAGGGATATAAGTTTTTCCGGCTAGACCGAGTTCCGCCTAGCCTTGGGTAAGCTAGGGGAAGGATGGTCGGATGTGTCTGCGGGTGTTGGCCTGCCTTGCTTAGGTAATCCTACTGGGTAGACACTCTGAATTGGCCCTGTAGAAGATTGCATGAGCCTGGCGTCAGAAGTTCCAGTACGGCAAGGTTCGTCCGCTTCCGCTTCCATTAGGGTTGGGAGGTTGGTCCAGCCCTAGTGCTTGTCACTGCTGTCTGGTCCAAGTTGCCCTCAATACAAGTAGGGTGATGGTCCTAAGTGTTGGTCACACTGAGGTAGGATAATAAGGACAGGGGTTGCGCTGGGAGTATTAATGTGGGGATGGGTAGGGTAGGTGGCTTATCCTGTCAGGACAAACCATTAGTTGCCGCTACCGCGGGTCTGGTCCTTGGCCTCTACAACACCCTGAGTTTTATATATATATATATATATATATATATATATATATCAAATAAAATAAAAATGGGAATAACTGTTATACCCAGTCCCAACGCCAACTTTCATCTATACCCGGAAAACGACCGTTACAAATTATTTGCACGCCCAAGACCAAAGGTCCCAGGTTGGTGTATTTTGCTCATAACCAACTACGGGAATGCACAAATTATGGACATAGCCAGGCAAAATTATGGGTGGGTGAGGGAACAGGAGGAAATTTCGCCTGTCGGGGCTCGACTAAACGTTGCAGCCGACGCTAAGCGCTTTGCCCTGGTGTTACCGCACTGGCAATCCAGCCTTACAAGTAACCAAAGTGCTACCACCGAGATAGCGCCTCGGTAATCCCGATGCTTTCCCGCTCGGTTGGGTGAAGCAACTATGGTGGCTTGAGTCCATCTAGCCGTCAATCGGGCGACCACCATCTTGAGCCCATTGGTGCAAAGAGAAGATCTGAACTGAGCCTGTGTTGAAACCGTAGCCAGGAACATAAGGTCGCGCATAGACATAAGTTTTTTTTTAACTGTGAGTAGGAGAAACGTAGAAGTGATGAAAGAAGCAAGGAGCCAAGATGTAGGATATTGATGAAGGGAGAGGAGGGAGAATGGACGCTCGGTCGTTGCCACGAAGTCTGCCAGATCATACTGACTACTAGAAAAATGAGGAACACATAAAAATGTTGCTAGGTCTCTGCCTCGACGATGGAGTTTACCCAACCGGTGTAGACCTAGGAGAGATATTGGTGCAAGGGAGAGAGGTGAAATTCAACCTGAATACGTCTCTGGACAATATCAAGGTTAAGTGGTTGAAGGAGCGGTGATCTTTAAGGAAAACGCAAGGTTCCTCTTAAAGAAAGTGAAGGATGACACAATCCGAGCATATGAATGATTGGGTTTTGAGGAGTGAACGACTCCCAGCCGAAAACAGGAGAGGAAGAGTTCAAATCGAGGGCCCCAACGCTCTGTTGTCTGTGGCGAAATCCGTGGAAGTGGCGGTCTTCATAATCAACGAAGAGGGTATGGAGATCCCAGTGGGACCTGCTATCTATAAGATACAGTTCAAACTTTGGATGACGAAGGCATAGTTCAGAGAATTGAAAAGAGTAAAGGATGAGAGAACATTTTGGGTAATAACCATTCAAGCTCATCTGGATGTTATGCCCTTTATACTATATACTCAAATGCAATGGGTGACCGACAGAATCATCTTGGCACACCCCCGGGATGCAGATCCAAGAAGACCAGCTCTAGTCGACGCGTGTTTTGATATCGACCCGGAAGGGCGAAGGAACATGAAATACAAACTATGGGTGATAAAATCAAACTTGAAAGGCGATGAGTTGGAGGCTAAGTTGGCTTGCTCTACCACGCCGAAGTGCGGGCTATGAAAGCAATTCTTTCACGTGGAAAGAGAGTGTTGAAGGAATAACGGTCCACATAACTCGAGATAAGGTGCAACAAATAGCACGTCTCACCAACAACCATCACAACATCGGTCGGGAGTAGGTCAACAAGGCGGAATAAGACTTGTCACAGTGTACCAAGGCCCGTTAGACCCACAACCATCCCAAGCGTGTTCAACAGGAGGAGGCGATCCTGCAAGTTTCACGCACTGAGCAACAAATCCAGTTTTCTCACCGGGTGGCTTTCAACACCTAGGCGCCCTATCACAAACATGTCCCACTTGGCGACGACTATGTATGGGATGCCATAGCAAGGCTGGTTTCCATCATTTGGAGGAATTTGGATTAACTTTGGCCACCACTAGCAATATGGCATAGTTGGAGAAGGCGGCATCCCCATTCAGGGAGGAAACCTAGGCGCAGAAGGTCCATCAACATTTCAAAGTTATCAACCAGGAGCGTTTATTGGTAACCCCAATATTGGAATATCTGGAGCCCCAGGTCTTAGTGGGCAGGGAGCTACTCTCGGGGGACATGGCGGGGAATCCGTTTGCACTCTTACCACTACACCTCAACGAGGGAAGAGGACGGGAGAGGCACAAGGAACGGGTGGATTAGGGTTGGATGGCACGGGACCCCCTGGTTCGCCATCTTCAAGAAACGAGGAGGTTTCCAGGCGAATAACTCGTCCGTCGGGAAAGTTGAAAAGACCGAGTATGTCGTATGAGGACGAAAGCTTGCTAGGGAGTCCTCAACTCACTCACCGGGCAACATCACGAGGAACGTTTTTTTGATGATCACATGATAAACAGCGACACTCACGCGGTTATCACAACAAGTGTTAGATGTTCCTATGCCGCAGGTAATTATGGAAGCCCTGTAAATTCTTTTCTTATATTTTTTCCCTGTCAGAATAGTGTCGGACTCCCCAATGGCTATAATTATCACTAATGTGGAAGGTCATAAAGTTAAATTATTAGTCCTGCTAGTCGATAACAGATTCACACCCGAGAACCTGATTAATTTAAAGGGGATGGGGTTGAGGCTGATCCCGCTGGCATTGTTCGCGGAGGGAAGGAAGCAGGAGCTGAGTAGAATTGCACTTGCTCCTAGGTTGTCAACAGAGTGCATGACCGAACTGAAAACTCGTTTCCACAAAGACAAAAAACTAGACTCGTTGTTTGTGAGAGACGCGTT